GAGGCAGATCTGACACCTCTGGGTGTGGCTGGGATRTGGAGAGGGGAGCACAGCCTGACTCCAGGTTCAGAGGCAGGTCTGGGGGTAGCTCCCACCTCAGACCTGTTTGAAGAAGCTGCTGCTGCACATGTGCCCCCTCCAGCCGAGGCTGCTTTGTGTCCTGAGCCTGTCACTGYCTCACAGGGCACTGGGCTGGAAGCAAAACTGAGAGCATGCACTGGTCCCCAGGGGCAGATTGTGGAGGATCCCCGGGCACTGGAATCACTGCAGGGAGAGGGGGCTGCTGCAGAGGGGAAACCTCTGGATGGAGCTCACGGTCTGGAAGCGGCACAGGGAGAGAGGCTGGAGGCAGGGGCGAGGGATGCAGGGATAACTCAGGGTCTAGGACTAAAGCAGGGCCGTGATGACTCTGTGCCAGCGTCAGCCTCCCCAGTTTCTGAGGTGCCATCCCAAATCAGCACCCAAAAGCTGGAAACGATGATGCAGGAGGATGTTCTCATTCCAGATGTGTGGCGSCTTGGTGCTCCAGGACAGGCAGCCCAAAGGGAGCTTCAGGAGCAGGTTTCAGCACAGGGACATGAGGGGAGGCTCCTGTCCCCAAAGCTGGAGGGGGAGACACCGCACACAATGGAACCGGAGCATGCGGCTGCTGGACCCGCTGAGCACCCAAAGCGAGAGGGGCCATCAACACTGAGCGTGGCAGTGCCACCAGAAGGTGCTGGGAGTGATCAGCTGGGGATGGTCCTCAGACATAACCCACTGGGGCAAAGGCAGCTTTTGGGGGGACAACAGAGCAAAGATGTCAGTGTTGGTACACAAGAGAAGATGCAAGAGTTTGGTCACAAAACAAGCCAAGAAGGCAAGCCCAGCCCAGCAGAGCCAGGGGCTGTGACTGCAGGCGGGGCAGGAGCTGCCCCAAGGGGTTGTCCCAAAGCTCCTCAGGACCCAGACCACCTCTACAACGTGCTGTTTGTCGGGGACTCCCACGTGGGCAAAACGTCRTTCCTGTACCGCTTGCACGCCGACGCCTTCAATCCCCACCTCAGCGCCACCGTGGGTAGGTCTCCCCCAGCCCCTCTCCAGGCACTCACTTGGGTCACCACTGCAATTCCCTTTCCTCCACCCCACAGGCTGCTGGTGGTCACCAGAAGCTGCTCCAGCTCACACCAAGCGTGTTGTACAGCCTRTCCCCAGGGGCCAGCCGGAACCACCAACTCCCCACGCCTGGGTGCTCACGGGCAGGAAATGCTGCTCCCCCTTGTCCTCCCCAGGGCACTGATGGCAGTGGCCCAGTGATTTCCTCTCTGCTTTGCCTTTCAGCTCCATTCTCCTCTCTTCACCAACATGATTTTATTCATCATGAGATGACAGACCTTCCCAAAATCCAGAGGTTCACTGGTGAACYAACCCCTGGAGCTGCAGCCTCAGACCACCCTGCACCACGTTCCTTCTCCATCCATCCTCTGTCACAGGGAAGAACTCTATAACTCTATCAAAATACTCCTTTTTGTGTCTTCCAGGACTGGATTATCAGATCAAAACCCTCGTTGTGGATAACAAGTGCTTTGCCCTCCGTCTGTGGGACTCAGCTGGTCAGGAGAGGTGAGGAGCTGTGCTGCTGAAGGACACAACCTGGGATTTTCTTTTTCCCGGTTCTTTAGGGGCAATGAATATTCTTGGCTCTGCTAAGCAAAGGTGGGGTTGCTCAAGGAGGGGACTCTGTACAGAATGTGATCTGATAAAACACAATAAAGGAAGCAATTAAGAYAAAACTGGCACTCGGGCTGCTCCTATGGCCCCTGCCATTAGGACAAGAGCCAAAATTGGTGTTTYGGAAAAGGAATGCCTGGTTCGTAGACCTGCATTCCCGCCTGGTGACCATTTAAAATGCCCGCAGGTACCGCAGCGTGACCAAGCAGTTCTTCCGGAAGGCGGACGGGGTGGTGCTGATGTACGACATCACCTCCGAGTATTCCTTCTCCGACGTGCGCTACTGGCTCAGCTGCATCCAGGTGGGTGCGGTCCCGAGCGCTGCAACTGCTGCGAGTGGCCACGCCCTTTAGAAAGGGTATTCTGCGTGGCTTTGGTCACTAAAGAATTTTTCTTGGAGGGTTTAAGTCACACACACACAATTTTCATGTTGTTTTGGGGTTTTTTTTTGCAGTGTTTCCCTGGATAATTTATTTGTAGCATTGTTAGGGTAATGATCGACTCTTAATTAAAAACCAGTGCAGAGGAATGGAAAATGTTRGAAGTGATTTTGATAGTGCTTTTAGATAAAGAATAGTCCACTTTGAGTCCTGGGAAATGGGACGTGATTTGAGGCTTATTAAAAACTTCTTGTCAGAGATTTCCAGTCAAGCACAAATCCAGTGTTTAAAAATGCTGAAGCAAAATAGGCCATTGCCTTGCTCAGTGCCTGTAAATCCCAGCCAGAGCATCTTCAGAGGGCTGCTGAAATTGAGCACAAAGTGAATTTATTACAAGGGTAATTCATCCAGTGCTCTGTCCTTTTAATAGACATGGGCAGATAATTTAAAGGGGGAAAAAATGGTTGTTAAATGCTGTTGAACTTGTTTAAGAATTTAAAGTTTCGTTATCAGCCCAAACCCATGGGTGTCAGTCATGGTGCTCCAGAATATGTGCAGGCAGTGTGGCCAGCTGGGGTTCGAGGAAGAAGCTCTCCTGATCTTCCCCTCTTTATCACCCAGGAGGCAGCAGAGGATGGAGTTGCTGTTCTGCTTCTTGGGAACAAAACCGACTGTGCTGCCCAGAGACAGGTCCCTACGAAGGAGGGGGAATGTTTGGCCAAGGTAGGTGGTGCAGCAGAGTGCCCTGAGTGAGGCAGGGACAGCTAAGGATGGACACCAGCACTGTGAGCATCTGAAGAAAGGGGAAAGCCCTTAATTTTCCCCTCATCCATCAGCAGTCAGCACAGTGCTCTCTGAAACCACCTCTCACCCTTCCCTGCTTTGCTTTCCCTTTGCCACTTGAATTTTGCCTCAGCACCCTCCCAGTAAATTTGGTTTATGGAACCGGATTCATAAATTAAAACATACTCAGCTCTGCTTATCTTTGCTGTGAAGTGTCCCAGCATCATAAAAATAATAAACCCACCAWGCAAAATCCTGGTTTAAAGATACTGAAATGATCAAAATTTGATTAATCTCTTCAAATAGAGATRGCTAATAAAAATGAGGTGAGGAGAGTGAGAAAAATCTCACCTTTACTGACTTAATTTTAAAGCTTATGGGATTTGGGCCTGAATTCACTGACCAATTTTACAAATGGAGATGAGGGGTAGATGTTTATTTTCCCAAATGGGTCACTGACAGGCACAAAAGCATTGGAAACATCGAGTTATGACTCTGTGCTCGCTCCCATAACCAGAGGGCATCACAAATTCTTCTGTCTGCAATGTCAGCCTTTTCCTTGGTATTAAAAGTTGGTGTYGTAGCAACCAGAAAAACTGGATTTCACCTTCCAGTTCCAGTAAATAAGTYATTGAGTTGTTTCCTTGATTCCCTCCTGTTTCCCCTTGACTGTGACTGTCCCATGGCTATTTATTCCCACATTCAGCTATCCCAGTGTAAGAACATTACATTTCCATCTTCTGTTTGTGTCTTCCAGGAGCATCAGCTGATGTTTTATGAGTGCAGCGCTGCCTCGGGCCACAATGTCTTTCAGTCCATGGTCAGCTTCATCAGGTGAGGCATGTGTTTGGATTTTTCCAGTTGTCCTCAATTTAATGGGCTCCCTCCCTGCCTTTTGAACTCCAAGTACTGGGGTGTCACTGTCATTCCATGTGCCCAAACATCAGGGAAAGCTTTGGGCAGCTTGTGTTGGGATGAGCACTTATCACTGCCCTCCCAAACAATCAGCATTGCAAGGAGATGAATAAAACCCATTTTGGGATGCTGCTGATTTCTCCCTGGCTCGACTGAAACAAATTCTGTCTGTGATTTGATTTCAGTTGGCGTTTTTAGCAGCATCCACAGTTCCTGGATCACATGGAGCTGGAAGGATCCTGAGTGCTTTCAGCCGTGCTGAGCCTCCTGCACCAAGGCTTGTCAAGGCAAACAGAACAGCAATAMAAAATATGGAAAATACCTGGCTAATTTGCTTCTTTTTCTCCCAGGTTGCTCAAAGCTCGTGAAGATGAATTGAAAAATAAGGCAGAGGAGGTACCAACAGCACCCCAGAAGAAAAAAGGCTGCTGCTGGTGATGGACAAACACGCCCTCAGTGATCTGAAACTGCAGCAACAGCCAGAAAGRCATGAAAACAGCCCTTGGACACCTTCTCTGCTCCCCTTGTCTTCCTTGCCTGGGCTTCCTTGGATGCTGAGAGCAAAAGYTGCTGTGGGGAAGCCCCTGCCAGTCCCACAGAGCACACCAGCTCTCCAAAATACTTCTTGGGAAACTTCATCACTTTCTTTCAGGAACCAAAAACAGGCCAAGGAAAGAGGTAGAAAAGGAACTCAGCTGGGTCTGAGATGCTGAACAATGCTGGGAACAGCAGGGAGTAAACCCAAGCCTTGGGGTAGAAGAAACGAGAACCTGGAGCCATCCAAGTGTACAAAACAAGGAGGTTTTGTGCCCTTGTTGCTCTGGGGACTTACTCTGGCTTTGCAATCTGATTGGATTTGATCAGGAACAATGAGCTGTCCAATATCTCCTAAAAGTGCTTAAGTGTCTCCAATTAGGAAAGGAAAAGCTGATTTTTCCCTTTCCTGGTTTATCCTGCCAGTGAGCAGTGATGGGGCTTGATGGAAACTGAATATCTTGCTCGAAATAAATTCAAAAGCCCTAAGAGCACATGAAGGATAATAAGAAGATAAGTGCTTGTAAGAGGTTTTTTCATTGTGTTGCCCCTCGAGCAGATTTCTGAGCTATTGCRACGAATCTCAGGCTGGGCAGGAAAGAACTGCTGCATCCTGCCCTTCTGCTCTTTGTGAAGTACTGAATTGGTTTTAAATCCAGCTTGAAAAAATCTAAATAAGCACATGTCACAATTTCAAGGTTGTTTTTTTACTTTTTCTTTTTACAGTTCCATAGAACTGCATTTTTCTTTCTGCAAAAAGACATACAGACTAAATAAATAAGAACACAAGTGCTGTTTTTCATTTTTCATTGTATTCCATGTAAATTTCAGCAGTTCAACAGGTGTATTTAAAGGTGGTGCTTACGTGCAGGTTTTGAGGAAATAATTCTGCCCAGTTGGRTTTGCTTTTTGTTGCCATTATTATTTATATGTACACAATGCTAAAGCACAACAGTAGCCAGTTCATGCTTCAGAAAAAGTGGCAACAGGAGTTGGGTTTCTAAKAACACTATATATTTTTATATATAATCATATATATTTTATATGTATCAGCTTTATATATACCAGTCAGGGTCCAACTTTGCAGTGACTCCAGAATTTCTGAGTCTTTTAGGGATGATTTATTTCCCCTGCACRCCCCAATTTATTACTCCAGTACCCTCAGTCTCCATCCTGTCAACCCCAGACTGCCTCAAGTAATTTTCCTTCAGCCCCATCATTAAAACACTTTATTTTCTCAATGCCATAAATTTAATGCCCCCATTCCCTGTCCATCCCTCTTTACCATATTTCTTTATACAATATTTTCAGTGATGGAGAAGCTCCTCAGAAAGGGTTTACATATTTGAGTTTTTCCAKCTGTCCTCAATTAAAGCCTTACTACTAGGTTTGGTATTTGGGATATCTAGAATGGCTTTTTCTTATTGTTCAGGGCCTTCTTCACTGTTTTTTTTCTTTTCTTTTAAAAGAATATAAATCCAAGAGTCCTTTGCAAGTTTGAKCCATAATAAGAGAAGCACCATTTCAGCCAGATCAACCCAAAAAGCTTCTCTTTACTGGGTCTGTAACACTTCCCCATGCAAAGCCACCCATCGTATCAGCTTTTCCCTTTGCCTAAATATGCTGGGATTGCWCTGGAAGATGCTGCTTGGCCGAGTGGCAGCAGGATTGTGCAGGGAAAGGTTTTATTGGATTCCAAAATGAAAAGCTGAGGCCGTGGAGGCTGAATTTTCCCATTAGAGGGCAGCAGCTGCAGCAATTCCTTCTCACCGCAATATTGCTGCTGCAGGGACGGACCAGGGAGCTCGAACGGGGCCCAAAGTGGGAGCAGAGAAACAAAAGATCAGCAGGCAGAAAGAAATATCTGTCTTACTCCCCTGGAAATCATCTCTAGAGAAAAGAACAGCGTTTGTGCCCAAAGCATGAGTTAATCCACTCCAAACCTTCCCCGCCAAAYTTGGGAATTAATTTTTCACTGCCAGGCTGGGAGGAACACTGGGAATGCAATAAATCACGTTGGAAAACATGGGCAGCACGTTGCACTTGTAAGCATCTTTCACCTTTAATAATTCACATCCCAGCAAACATTCCCACTGCRGGATCAAAGGCACCGCTCCTTTGCAAGCCATTAAACGCCTGCACGAGTATTTGGAAGAGGATCAAGGCCTGGGATATTAATAGCAAGAGGGAAATGCATATTTGTTTGGACCACAGGATTATTTCTTTTTTAAATCAGGTGGTTTCCTTTTAAGCTGTTCGTAATTCCTCAAGGCGCTCCACAAGTATCAGAGGAGCTGCCTGAGCCAAGCCAAGATTGGGAAAAATCTCGGATAGCAGCCCAAAGTCAGCAGGCATTTACCACCATCCTGCTTGGATGAATCCACCCTGGAAGCTGAAACCCACACGAGCTTCTGACAAGTCAGAACGAAGCTTCAACCACAGCTTTCAGTGCACCAGCCACAGGGATTTGGGTCTCTTGCCCAGAGAGACAATTCTCTTCTTTTAGAATTTCACCCCATTCCCCTGGGAACGCAGTAGGATCAGGATGAGGAGACAATTCCRCTCCCTGGGCTGGGATTGACAGGGCAGGAAATCCAAACCTGAGGAGAGGAAGTCCTTTTTCTAGCAACATTTAACTCAGCTGCAGAACTCAGCGCTGCAGGAAGTTGTTGAGGCTGAGAACTTAAACAGGCTGAAACTGAAACAAGGTTGGTCTAAAGGGACCTGGCCTGGTGGAACAGGACAAGTGGAAAGAGATGATTTTTAAGGTCCTTCCAACCCAAACTATTCCAAGATTCWGTGAAAATGATCCCAAAAGCACCCATCACACCCASAAAGACCAAAAATACATTTAATTGCAATTAAGGATCGAAGCTCATGTCTGAGAGTAGGGTAAGGCTGAGACCCCTCACTCCTGCATTCTCCCAAACTTTTCATGCCAGGGGTGGATCCAGGGACCTCCTCTTGCTCCATCTCCTGCCCTTTACTCCTCAAAGCCTTTCCCATAATTTTTAGGGCTTTCCCATATTTTTTTAGGGGGTGTTAACTGTGCTTGTCACTTGAGCTGTGGGAATGGGCATCCATGTCCCCTGTGAGGCTGGGGTAAGTGGGGTTCATGTGGGCACTTTGTGGGATTTGAGAGGTGCTGGAGGGTCTGGGGGTGCTGTGGGGTGATACTGGGGACTAATGGGAGCTACGAGTGGAGGTAATGTGGCTGTGAAATATTTTGGGGGTTCTGGGGCATCTTGGGTGTGCTGTGGGCTCAGGAAGGTGCTGAGGGCTCATGTGGGGTGTCTTTAAGGTCCTGGTGGGGGTCTTTGGGCTCAGGTGTCTCTTGGAGGGGGTTTCAGAGTGATGGGGTTCAGGAAGGTGCTGGGATTTAGGGGCTCAGGCTGGTACGGGGGGGGTGTCTGTGTGTAATGATGGGGTCAACCCATCAGGTGCTGGGGGTGGTCTTAAGGTGTTTATGGGCTCAGATGAGTGCTGGGAAGGGTCCTAGAGGTCCTGAGGAGATCTGATGATCTGGGTGGGCTTAGGCTGGTCTGGGGGTTCAGGTGGTGCTGGGGGTTGTTGAGGATAATCATGGACTGAGATGGGTGCTGGGAAGGGGGGTCCCCATGTTCTGGGCTGAAACATGCGCAAAGTCTCTCAGTGGGACATTGGGGGAGGGATTGGGGATGTTGAGGGTCCCAAGGGATGTTTGGGGCACTGGGGGGTCCTGGGG